ACACACGTACACGTTTCGTATCTGTGACCTGTCAGAGTATTTTCAAACCGTTTAACGTTGTCTGAATCGCATGGAAACGAATACAATATAATTGTGAAAACATTTTCTTCATTAATTACCAATTAGATCCAAATATTTTATTATAATCTCACTTTTCTTTCTTTAAAAAAATATATGTACAATATATGTTTTTGGTCTGGACACCAGATTCTATATTTCTGACCAATTTTTCGTTAGGTTTTGGTGACCACAATTACTTATTAACAGAAACATAAATTATTTATGATTTGCAGATTTTTCTTGTAGAGGAAAAATATTTCGTACAAAGTATAATGTTTATATGTAGTGTTTTAGCAAATATTCATTCGTGAGTAAAAATAAATCGATACATTGCAATACAAGAAAAAAAAAATTAAAGGTATAAACATAATAGATGTTTAGGTTATTAATTATTTGAAATGACAATATTACGACACTGTCTTAACAACGATGTTAAGAAACTGAGGTTTGTTATATTATTGCTTTAGCGTCCCGTTCGACAATACACCTTGATTTATATTTTCTTCCCTCGCGAAACAGCTCCCCACAAGGTTTTCATTAATAAATTAAGGAGTTTGGTTATTTACTCGAATTGATTGTCAGTGGTTTTTATTTGTTGTGTCCGATTTGGAGAACCCAATTTGTCGTCTTGGCCGTTAGACCAACCTCGTGTATCGAACTTTTAGTCAAAGAAAACAAATACAATACCTTTACCCTCTATTTTGGAGTCGTGCCAGCCAAATTGTTTGTTTCGATTATATCCCCTATTTTAATAGGCACTCAGTCGTGCAGTTGAATTTCCCAAATAAAACGTAATAACATAAACAAAACATTGGTCTGCACTACATTTTGCGAATTTGCTTAATATTTTATACGTTTACAAGACTGTGAGTTATCTATAATAAATGTCATCAAACGACTTGTGGTGATTGAATCACAAAGCAGGAATATTAATTGAATATTCAGTTTTATCTTTGGAACTTTAATATATCATTTTGATCATGGTGTTGTGGATTATTCCATTTATCTTATAACATAATATTTAGTATTTGTAATAAATTTCGCTTTTTTTATTTTATCACGTACAAATCGCGGTTACAACTTTATTTATTAGCCTTTATAGGATCTACCAGACGTATAGTCAGGTATTGAGATTTTCTGGCAACTCTAAACTACCTCTATAAGATTTACCGAATAAACAAAATAAAAATGCCTATTTTCTAGAACAGTAACAGTATGTATATAATCAATCACAGAAAACGTGTGCGCGAGTTCAATTATTGTGCAGGCCGTTGCTCAATAACATCCACACAACTATATGCTATGGGCAATGATTAATTTACCGTTCATTCACATTATTTACCGGGCACGCAATATAATTCCTATTCAGAAAATCACGTACTGGAATGAAATCGACTATTATTATTGTCAGCCACTGCTGTTAACGCGCGAGTACAATATTAACAATAATAAAAATAATAATAACGAAATCGTTACCTACTCGTTGGCCAGAAAGTATTCGTTCCGTAATAAAAATCTTGCCAACGTAATGTTTACCTTTAAAATATAATAATATTATAAGACGTAGTGCAAAACCTCCGAAAGAGAATTTCGGCGTATTCGGGTTCTTTTAAGCATCACTTTTCGCCTGCTCTTCGTTTTCGCTTTAAAATCACTACAGTTTAAAATAATACATTATTACTGGGTGGGTGCCAGTCGAGCGAGCAAGAGCGGTTTACCCGCGAGACTTCTGCAAATTTCCAACGAGTACCTACCTATCTGCTGCTTGTCGGCGCAGACATTGTGTTTGAAATGTGTACATTTTATTAAACTGAAGGGCCCGACCCCGAGGAGTTCGCGCTTTTCACTCTGACGGCGACGTGTATAGACGTCCTCTCGACGCTATAGGCAGCTAGGTCTTCAAGAACCGTGAGCCCGTGAAATATTTAATCGGTTAAAAGCCACCGACGGCTGTCAACTCCCCGGCAGCGACAAGTACATAATTAATATTTTTCGTCTCTCGCGTCACTCTCCTCTATTATTATTATTATTTTATATATTATACATTTTTTTTTTTTAACTCTCCCTTCTTCGTTTATCCGATCTTTCCATTATGGCTGACCCGATCTMAAAATGTCGTTCTTCCAAGATTACACTATCCGACTATCCCTAATAAAAAAAGAGAAAAACACGCTTTAAAAGTTTGTTGTAAAAACATACAGAATGCCTGCTTGAAATGAAAAAAATTCCATTTTTTACTGCACGTACGAATTGTAAAAAAAAGTCGTCATTAGTCTCGCTATTTTTTTTTTATACATACATATAGTTGTTCACGTCTGCGTTAATTTTAATTTGCATTCAATTAAAATGTGTGTGTATTTTTTCTTGTGCGTTCTATGACACTCGACTGTGATACGTCTTTGTATACTATACCAGGATCCCACTGCAGACTGCAAGTGGAACTTTTTTAACAATTATTATTTCGTCGAATAAGTATTTTGAAGATTGTTGTATTTTATTGTTTAGGTACCTATGTGCTGAGTTTTTTCTTTTGAATTTGCATGTATCACCTCAACAATTTTAATCTAACCTATAATAATTTTTATAGGTTTTAAAATTAACTAATTGTATTGGCAATATTTTTATCTCTCCGACAAATAGTGGTTCTGTGTAGAAKCACTAATTCAATACATGTTTTCAAAAAGTTTCAAACGAAAGTTTTGTCGGACGTTTACAGAAGAATTTCCAATAACTTTCGAAAAACCGCGAATAATGTACAAAGTTTTTAACGACCAAAACGAGCAGACACATTATAGTTGAATTTGATTTTTCTTTCGTCAACTCTATAGCATTTTCACTTCAATTGGTTAGTACGATTTGCCAGTGATAAACATTATTATCACCACGTTTGGGTATCAACTGACATCTCGCATATAATGATGGTCTGTGGATAAGTACTGAACTCGCGTGTATTACGTGTTACGACAGATCGTTATATTGTGTTAATAAAATGATTTATTTTCCGTAACTTTGTCTAAATATTTAACGCATATTTTTTTTATCCTTTCGTTCTATCTCACTCCCTCGCGTAAYACAATATATAAATATATAATAATAATATACGAGAGCTCTGGTGCAGTTTTATACTGGTATACATTTATGTATTATAATATGCGTGCAGTGTGCGACAACTCTTTATTTGTATATAATATACGTTTCGTCATCTGTGGCTTGGGGAGGCTAGGGGAATAAAAAAAGTTTAAACAGAAAAGCACTTGCGTAAATGATGCGAAGACACTGACGACGCTGTGTGCGTGTGTACACACTCGTCGGCGGTGTGTTGTTTTATAATGTAACTTTCCGCGATTGCGAATTCATGTGTTCCCCGAAGGCGCGCGGGGACGTTTCGAATCGCACTCTTCTCTCAACACAGCCGTCGGTCCTCACCTCCGGCGCACAGCCATCCTGCGACGTTTTTTTCATCCCTCTACCGCCGACCCACCCCCACCACCGCCGCCGCCGACAAAAGACGTTCTAGTGAGTAGTGTGACATTATATTATACATGTATAATGTACACGCGTACGACACGGCGGGTGCCTATGATCCACTACAACACGCGTATAGGTACGCGTACAACACACTGTACGGCATCTATAATAATAACAACAACAAAAACAACTATAATAATAATAGTAATAGTAATATCTGCGATGACAATGAAAGCCGTTGGCGATGGGGGAGAGATGTTAATTTAAAACGTATACCCACCGGCTACATTGCGCTAGAGATGAGCTTCGGAAGCGCATGCTGCATATTATGTGTATATACAAGTAAATAAATATTATGTATACATATATACATACACGATGTTTGGCGTATATATGTTTTATGTACAGTACTATATATTATACCGCGAGCACCACTCTGTAGGTATATACGCGTACATGATATTGCCACTTGACCGGCGAAGCAAAACACGAACTACGCAGCCATCACCCACCGCGCGCCCTTATGTATGGCGGCGAATATTATTCTTATTACGTTCGCCACGTAAATAAAAAATTAAAAAAAAAAAATGTCAGAACAAAAATGAATTCACGATTTTTGTTTTTACAAGTGTCTCCGCTCGTGTACACGTCATATAGTGTGTCAACACACGTGTCCTTGTGCCGTGCGATCTGCCCGTCGCCGCTGAGGTTATTTTTAATCAAACCAGCGCTCGGAATAATAAACAAAGTATAATAATATTATATCATATTATTATACTATGATGATATATGTATACGTCGCATATATAAACAGTTCACCGTAGAATAGTCGACTGCCATAAACGAACGTTTTAACATTTTATTATTATTTTTTTTTTAATCGAAATTCATCCCTCCGGCGTCATTAGTAAAATATAATATAAATATATTATTAAAATATAGCAAACGGATATTGCACAGCAGACCAGCACGTGCGCACTGCACACACCAACACACACACACACCCACACACGCACACACATTTACTAATGATTTCTACCTCACACGACGACATCTAACTTCCAAACATATTATTATGCAATATAAACTCGGGGTGAATCTCGTTTATAATCGTATGCGCGTATCTATCTATCTATATATATATTATTATTATATTATAATATTATGCTCTTCGCTAYGTACGTATTAACATTCAAGGCAGCACAACGGTCGCTCCCGCAGTCGAGAGTTTTCGCTATTGATTTTACCACTAAGGACACTGTTTTCCGTGATATTTTCTCTTTCGCAAAACATCCGTGGAAGCTTCGGTGGTTATATTATGTAGTGGTTAAACTTTGTCAATAACGTGTGGTGTCGCATGTGCGCGTCATACGAAAATATTATAACAATATCGATATCGTACGATACCTAATAATAATATTATGAGTTACACACATTTTTATGCTAAACGGTTTTATTTTGTTTGTTTACAGACGTCTCGTGTGGACGGGCCCCACGGATCGTCGAACATCCTACAGACATGTCAGTCGGACTGCACGAGCCGGCAACGCTCAACTGCAAGTCTGATGGTCAGCCGCAACCGGAAGTCCGGTGGTACCGGGACGGACGTCCCGTGGACGTGGCCAGCAGCGTCCGGAAGGCTTTGCTGCCGGACGGGTCGTTATTGTTTCTGGAGGCATCGCAGGGCAAGCGCGACTCGGACTCCGGCACGTACTGGTGCATCGCTCATAACGCATTTGGCGAGGCCGTCAGCAGAAAAGCCAACCTGGTCGTCACATGTAAGTACCTTTTAAACCATATAGCTAGATAGGATCGTCGATCGGTATTTTAGTAGGAATTAGGGAAAGTTCGGGTGGGTTTAGTGGATGGGAAGCATCGAAGTTCTATTTACACGATCTGCAAGCAGAGAAAGCAAAGTTAAAATCAACAACTATAGAATGAAAACTACTTATTAATACTGTCTAATCAAAATCTATTTAATTCACCGTAAATATTAATGATGATTAGGTTAAATTGTTTGTCTGATGGTTAGAAAACTTTGTCAACTGGTCACCATGTCATGACATCTGATGTATTTACGATCACGAGATTTAAAATATTATGCTTTATATAATATTCCTTATATAACCGGTGGCGGATGTTTTACATATTAAGATTATTATTTATAACGTCTTGTCGATCAATCAAATATGACATCTAGTTTTTGTAGTTCAAATGACTAATTTGATAAAACCTTTTAATAGCTGCTAAATATTTCAGTTTAATTTTTTTCTTAATATTTTGGATAAGGTCATTAATACAAAATATTTTAAGACCATTGGTGCGTGTAAAAAGATAACACAATTTACCTCATGTATAAAAATATCAATTACGCGTGATATATATGTATATATTATTATATTATATTTTGATAGACTATAGTGTTATAACGTCGAATTAAAATGTAGCCATTATAGTAATAATATAAGGTACACGTGCTTATTATATTATAATATAATACATATTATGTTCAAGAGCAAAACGCTATTATAATCTTATCGAGAACATTGAACTTTCAGTAAGTGCAAACAACGGAATATTACTTAAACGGAAATCGTAAAAACATCTTGACCGAATGCACGTTAGAAACATACGGAACTTCAAATGATCGCGATCATCTTTAGTAGTTTCCGAATAGTTATTTTAGAATATGGTCTTAAGTACACGTCTGTATTGTGTGTGGCGTGATAGCATCATTAATCAAAGACCAAACGCTTCGAAGGGGGGAAAAATGTATGCGTAAAAGCTGAAACTTTAACGATTTAATCGATTCAATATTGTTTCGAAAGTTTCGAGTGTATATAATAAGAGCTCATTGGCAATTTTTTTTTTCTTTTATACACGATATATATTATTATATATAATACGTTTCCGGCATTGTCGTAGCACTGCAGCAGTCACGCGCCTGATAAAAAAAAAATAGAACGAGACTTTGGGGAACTTTGTGCACCCGCTCCGCTCCACTTCAATCTTGTGAATTTATATATATGTGTATCGTTTATTTTTTGTCGATCCGATCGTGTCGCGCACTCCTATTAATTAAACAGCCAATTAATTTACAGCGTTTAATCGCCGGTAATTAAAATACATTAGGTGTTTTAAAATTTTTTTTTTTGCTATGCATACCCGTACTCCGAGATCAGGCCGCAGGTGTATAATAATATAATTTATTATTACACCCTACCGAATCGCCTTAAAATCGTAAATTAATGTTCACGTCACAGCGGGCTTATATTATTTTGTTCTTCGCGGTGCTTAACACCGAATTATACGCATATCACATCCGACTATCGAAACACGTTATCGACCCGTTACTTCCGGCTGACTTGGCTCATTCCGCACGCGTCTCATTTTTTTTTGAGAAATGTATAATGTACGATTTCGGTGTACACATGCACACACACACACACACACACACGACATACACACACACACACGACATACACATCGTTGAACACGTCGCGATTGACCTTTATCGGGCGGGCCTGTTTGTTAATAATAATTACAATCTGTTCCGGCACATAAAATACCGGAACCAAATCGCGTGACGACGGAGTGGAGCGTCGCAGTTGTGTCGCGATCAGATCCGTCCGCGCCATAATAACGCAGTCAGCTGCCGATTCATGGCTTCACAGTGCGTTTCCCACCACGAGACCGTGGTATCTACCTACCCTCCGAATTATCCGAAAACTCTATAAAATGTAGCGGCAACAATAATGGCGTATAATGTTATAATTCATCGTCAGCGGTCTAGCCGACGAGAGTCGTCCCGTAAACCGCGAACGATAACACTGTGAGCAGTATAATTGTCGTAGTCGTGACACAATCGCGTCGAGTAGTGTACGCGTAGCACTATATAATATTTATTATGGGCCCCGCGTGCCTCACGCCCCCTCGGACGGCCGTCGTCGGCAACAAAATAATATAATATTATCATTATTATTATTATTATTATATACTGTATGCGATTCAATCCGCCTACAGCTCTTTAATTCGCACGCGTGTTTGAATTTGACAAAAACGTTTGATGGCCGCCGAAAGTGGTGTTTAGGTGGAGTGGGGGTGGAGGGGAACGATAGAGTGGAGGACACGCTTCGATCGGTCAACACACGCGTGGCGGAATATAAGGGGCTTATTGAAGCGCAAAACAAACGGCCGGAAGCCGTTTTCTTTAGACACACTGGAATTGAGTGAAAATAAGGGGCTTTTTCCGTTGTGGTGATCGCCGTAACGGCGAAGGGTGGGGAGAAGGTGATCGGAGACGGTGGCAGTTGGTCGTGGTAGTATAGTTGTGGTGAGGTGGGGGTGGGGGTGTTATAGAAGCGAAGACAAACATCGGCCGGAAAAACGGTCTTGTTTGATGTTCCCCGGGGAAACGTCCGAAGGTTTTCTTTGCTCTCCGGTACAGCTCTTAAAAACCCTAAACTTATGATGGTACGTCGGACCATTTTACTAATTAACGGACATAAATCGAATAACCGTTGATGGACATCGAGTAAAAGAGTAAAAAGACTTATTGCATAACCAAAATTAAATAAAAAATAAGATACAAATCGTTTGATGAGTGATGAGTTATTACTTATTAGGCAAGGGGGAACGGATATTTTCGATCTGTATGATACATGAAGTATTTTATTTCAGATATATCATATAGCAGGTAACTTAAGAATATAATTTGATAAACGGCCTTTTAACAAAATATGTTTTTCTTTTTATATTGCTGGACCCAATAACAATATGTTTACTATTAATTGTTGAATTTTCGAAATGATATATAAATAACGTTCACCGGTTTTTCTAATGTTAAAAGTGAAGTAATTGAACCGATAGCTTTTTTGTTTATTTATATAAGTATTTAGAGTTTTGATGAGCGGATTAATGCATGAATATTTTAAGGTTTTTTCCATTTCGATAATTTTATTTGTTCGTACTTAAATGATTGTCAGCAATAAGTCAAATAATATTATATTCAATGCATTAAATATATAGGTATTCTCCTGGGCATAAAATTATTTTAAATGTAGCTAATCGCTAATCATTGAAAAAAAAAACTTATAAAATGTATTCTAGATGTTAAAGAATAAATCATTATGTAGTAAAACAATTGAGTACCTATCTTGCATAAATGTAAAATTGTTATTCTTTCCAAATAAGAAATTGCGAAATAACCTGCAAAATAAAAATTCTGTTTGTTAAAGAAATCACACTATTTTGTTATTAACGCGTGCATACCATTTACTTCAACCACTGCCACTTGAACGTGACCTCTCGTCTTTAGTATAATTTAACAATATAATGACTGTATTATTATTATCATTACGATTTATACGATTACCAGTAATCGCGTTATACGTAGACCATTATAATATACTATGGCCGTGGTTCAATCGACGGAAGATTACGACGGCAGTTGTTCCTCCAACTGCCGTATAATATATATCAGAAATTAAATAAAATCTGTAAAGCGCCAAATCTATGGATTTCGTTGGGATGTAAGGAAACGAGATGAACGATAGATATTATCGAAAAGTGTGAACGCACGCGCGTGTGTGTGTGTGTGGTGAAAAAGAGATAAAAAAAAAAAATAATAATAATAAAAGTACCATACAGCGAAACGCTCTTTCTGTGTGCGGGGCATACTTCTCACCAGACCTATAATATATTTATATACCGAGTCGTGCCGCAAACAAATGCAATCCATTATCGTGCGAATTGGATTCCGTTGTCATTTTCTCTTTGACAGCCGATTTTTCCCATCTCTCCGACACGCTTACACGCGACATATACTTGTATAAATTATATATATACGTTTAGGTTTTGTCGCCCGGAGAAACGTTTGTAAATTATTGCTTTTATCGGAAATATTCACGAGCGCCACCTCTACACATCCACGCGCCTGAAGTCACAGTGTGCAGCTCCTTGATCGTCGCGAGGAACAGTCTATATAATAAGAGCGTTTTTATCGAGCGGTTTTCTGAAAAAAAGAAAAAGAAAAAAGAAATAGAAATACAGAACGAGAAACTCGTAGTATATAAACTAATAATAATAATAATAATTGCAATGTGCGGCGTGACGTTGTACCCATTGTATTTATATATTATTATATAGTTAGCCGTTATACAGCCGTCGCCGATTCCGTTTTGGCAACGAAACGTTTCGGTTGGTATTTTACGAATTCGATCGATGTATATCGTATATTTTTAGACCAGTAGAAATGGCCAATTAAAAAAATGTGATGACGTTAAGTATTATTCTATCTATACTCGAGGCTCGGGCACAACATGTCTTTATACGTTCACAGTTTTCAAATACGTTTACGCTCTTCGATATTATACGTGTTAAACGGATAATTTTATCTCGCTGCGGAGTTATTGGCAAAAAAACGCCCCAGCAAAGTAACGTTTTTATTTTCATACATGAGTGTTGAAAAATACAATTAATGAAATATTTCACGCGCATACCAAATCAAAATCGTATTACCTATATTGAATTATTATTATGATTTATTTTCGATAGTATACAAAACGACGATGAATTATGGTTTTAAAACAACAACGGTTTAATTTCATAATAACTCATGTGGTTAAACCACTGTGAGTCAAAACAACAGTTAAACATAATATTAGGCTTTGTAATTTGTGTTGACATCATTATAATCATTTGGTACGCTTCGTTAGTTCTCTTTGTATGGTTGTATTTTAATAAGAATATAAAAATGTAAAATCGAAAAACGTCTGTG